CCTCCCTCCAATGCCCTCTCCCCTCCCGGAGGAAGGATCTGTGAAAAAAAGCCATGTGAGAAAGCTCATGTGCAGACTGCCATCAAGTGGCTTGATTTTGGCTCCATGCAGGGCCAAGTTGGGACAGCTATACCTAAGTGCTTTGCCAGAACACCCAGAAGGAAAGCTGCTCAGAAAGACAATAGATAGGAGCAATCCCTAGAAGAGCAGGAGAAGCGGGAGACAGCTCTTTCTGGGGCAGAGTGGAGGGCAGGCTTTCAGTTTCCCAGTGAGGTCCAGGTTACCCGCATTACACAAAGTGTGCAGCAGCTCAGCGAGCGCCACGTATCCTCAGGGATACTAGGCCATCCCTGGAAAGCTTTGCTCACACATTTTAATGAACCTTCCCCTGGCCAACCTCAGCAGTGATGAAGGCAGAGTGGAGGAAGGAGTTGAGCAAAATAAGAGGGGCACCACAAGAAGGTGCTTGGGAAGCTGCCTTTAATCTTCATGTGGCCAAAGTCACTGGAGTGAATATGTGCGTGTGTATACACCCAAGAAATAAAAGAGAAGCAGCCTGGCCCAGAAGCCAAAGCACTATCTGAAGACTCGAGAGATCTTTGTACAGCCTCCAGGTGGGATGCTAAGCACAGGCATCTACTGCTGTTAGCACCCTTGGCCTCCAGCTATGAAACTGAAAGAGCCCGTGTTGTATGTGCCAGGCATGTGTGGATGGTTCACACTACCCGAAGGGGTCTCAAATGGCACTAGAGGCATGAGGTAACTTAGTCATGCCATCCCTATCTCAGCTTGGGTGAGTCATGTTTCTCTGTGCCTCAGTTTCTCTGCATGTAAAATGGGGCTCCCCTATCCCACAGAGGCAGCATCAGATAAACTGGAAGGGTATTTGTTAGGATGTTATGGGAAAGGGATGGGGGAGCAGCATGCTTATGACCGATTCATCATAAACTATGAAGCCATGAACAACTGCAGGTTTGCCTGCCATATAAGCCATCCTGGTTTTGAGTCACGCTGCAGCTAGCAGAGGCATTTGAGCAAGAACAAGCTGCTGGTGAGCCGGTCTTCCTGAGGAGCCCTTTGTTTAAAAGCATTGCTTAAAACTAGCATCCCCTCATTGACATTCTGGATTTGCCCAGAGGCCCGTCTCTTACTCCCTGCACCTGCCTCTTTGCTGAGATGGAATCAAAGGAGGGATATCTGGCCTACCTGCTCTGGTCAGCAGCTGGAACACCACCCCTTCATTTACCCCAACACTCCCTTCTGTAGCATCAGTGGCCAAAGCTTCAGTTTTATCTCTTTGCCTCCATCCAGATTTCTGCTGCCTCCATTTAAACTCTCTCCTGAATGTCTTGCCTAGCTGACTGACTTTAACTGCTTTTCTACACAGAACAAAACATTTCAGAGCTGATTTCACAGTTCTTAGTGGGGCAGAAATGTCATATGACAGAGGGATGACTGCCAAATGTCAGCCAGTTTTCACATCATGCATTGGCAGAACACAGAGATGCTCAGAGACAGGAGACACAATATTCATTCTACCAGAAAAAGTGGTAATGTTGTCAGAGTGACCAGCGTCCTGGTCTAACCAGCTTTTCGTTCTGCTCTCGTCTGTTTGTTTTATTCCACCATTTTATCCTATGATAGGATTTTTGTAAATGGGCACTCTGTGGTTGATGAACTACCGAAGGAAGCTGATAAAGTCCCAAGGTTTATAACCCATGGCATCAGTGACGCAAGGAAGATGCTGACTGTATAAAGAACCTGAGTGTCCAGCCCCAAAACACTGTAGCTGAAGGGAAACCCCTTGAATGCCTGTTGGAGTTGGACTTTATTGTATGTCCCAACAGACTGAACCAAAGAAAGATGTAACCAGGAACTTTGAACAGATACTTGAGATTTTTCAGTAGTAAGTAACTAAATGTTCTTACTTGAAATCCCTGTCAGATGTAGCTGAGGCAACTGGAAAGAAGATCCTTCAACTGTCCATCTCGCCTGCAGACATTAACATGACCTTGACAGAGGAAGGGAACAGTATTGCCCTCAACCCCAATAGCTCATAACAGAAATTTAAACTATGACTGAGCTCAGTGTGTTTTCATCTCACAGGGGCTGTGACCGGTCATGGCTATTGGAGCAAACACAATGGCCAGCCCGCTGCTCCAGAGGGGATGACAGCTGGGGATATTCTCAGGTACTAACCAATGTAGCCACTTCTCCTGATGCCATCCAGCAGGGACTGAGGGTCAGTCCTGGACAGAGAGCCAGTCTTGCTCCACTGGAAAGCAACTGAGCTGAACTCCATGTCAAAACTCTCCTTGGCTTAAATAGGTCAGGTGTCTCTGCTAGTTTTCTTGAGTACTGACAGGATTTTGAACAGGGGTGGGAAGGAAGAGAGATCAGAATACTATTTCTGCCAAGAAATGGTGCCATTGAGAGCGAGTTTCATGATGGCATTTTCCTCATAATTATTAATTCAGAGATCTTCAAAGCTATTTATAGTAATTGTCTTCTCTCTTGCACAGCTCATGCTACTGACCTGTGCAAAACTTTACACAACACTTCTGTATGTTAAGCCTGGGATTTCTGGGCTGGGCAAAGACAGACAGGCCTAATGGAAAGACTTCTCATGAAAAACAGTCTACCTCTCTGCATTTCATAGCTTAATGAGAAATCACCCAGGATTAACCTCATTTGCCAGTGGAGACATTGCTACAGATGAAGCAGATGCAGAGACGGTGATTTGATTTTACTTTTCCAGAACTTTGAAGCAAATGCAAAGTCGACAATTTAATGGTCTGCATAATATAAAGAAAAGAAATGTATATCCATCCCTCCACTCCCCAATTAAAAGAATAGGAAGCTCAGACTGGTCATGTGGGATTTACCTGGGAATGAATTAGGCTTTCCAAATACAGCTAGGGTCCTAGTTCAGCCTGTTCACCCACTGAAATACAACAGG